TTCTGTGTGACGGACTGAGGAAGATTAAGAGCAGCTTTGAGGCCCTCCAGCGCTCCTTTAGCCTCAGCATCGAATACCTCGGCAGGACCGAGGCGTCCGGCCCCATGGCGGATTGAATGTCCGTTCTGGTGGACAGTGAAGCCATAACCAGCTGCACCGGTAGGGGACAGCGAGCCGTCTGAGTATACAATGAGTGTAGACGGCGGGATGGATTGTAGCCAATCGAGAAAGTGTTTGGCTGAGTCTTCTTTGGATGCAGTTTGAAGCGGCTGCGGTGTTTCGCTTCTGTACTTCCGTGGGACAAGTACAGGGCGCTGGCAGTTCGCCAGCAATTTGTTCGTCCTCCTCAGCCGAGTTGGGAAGGCCTTTGGCGGAAGTTGGTATTTCAGCTTGATACACTTGATGATGGGCCGAGGCGCAATCTCGGTGCTGCGTTTGGCCAGAGGATGTGCATGGTCCCCTCGGCGGTGCGTTTGGCCAGAGGGTGTGCATAGTCCAGTGATTTGATGCGAGCAGAGAAGCGAAGACGTCTTGCCTCCAGAAGTTGGTGGACGGGGGGTATGCCGCTCTCTCGGTGCAAGACAGCGATCGGTGTGGTCTTCCAGGTTGGGAGAATGGCTCGGATGGCCTGCTTGAGAGCCTTGCTCATTTTCCGCGCAAGCTGCTGGACTCTGGACGGTCCTTCCTTTGATGGTCGTCTCCAGCGTGGCGACGTTGTACCTGGATACCACGCTTCTACGCCGAAGAGCAGTATCGGCTCGACACAGGCTCTGACTGCCCTCTGCACAGCGCTCGGCAGGGCGCCGCGCCGGGTGTTCCCTAGGCTCCGGAGGTGGTGGGCGACCGTCTGGGCCTTGGCTGTCCACTTCTCGACATGTGTCTTGAATGTCAACTTCCTGTTTAGACACAGGCCTAGCCAGCGCATGGCTGCCTCTGGTTGCTTCTCCACGTCACCGTGGCGGACAGGCGGCTCGGTTTTCCGCCTCCTCGGTGAGAAGTGCATGACTTCTGTCTTTCCTGGGTCGAATTAAATGCCGTTGGCAGCGCCCCAGTTCACGAGCTCTTGAAGATATTCCGACGCTGTTCGTGATGTTTCTTCCACAGATTTCCCTGTACAGAGGGGCGACTGGGTCGACGGCCGACCGTTTCGGGAGCGCGCCGGCTTGCTGTGGGTGGAGGACTGCATAATGAATCGATGCCCACGCTAGGCGGCGAGCGATCAGCCGCTCAAGGCCCTTCCCAAGACAGGAGAGCAGAGAAATAGGGCGCCATGCCCTGGGGGTCGACAGATTTCTCTTTCCCGCCTTGGGGATCATGGCCACTCCTGCTTCTCAGAACCCTCCAGGGTTATGGCCAACCGTTAGGCATCCCAGATAGAGGCGACAGACGTGCCCCCAATGATGTCTCATACTGTTTGCAGCAGCTTGACCGTGATGTTGTTAGCTCTGGGCGAGGTGTTGCCCGTCTTGATTGTAGCGTCCTCTGCTTCTTCCAGCGTGACTACTTGGGCGAAGGGTATCTT